AGCTACTATTCCCACATGGAGATAACTTCCTGATATATAACAGTTTATTATCAGACCTAGCTACTATTCCCACATGGAGATAACTTCCTGATATATAACAGTTTATTATCAGACCTAGCTACTATTCCCACATGGAGATTACTTACTGATATATAACAGTTTATTATCAGGCCTAGCTACTATTCCCACATGGAGATTACTTACTGATATATAACAGTTTATTATCAGGCCTAGCTACTATTCCCACATGGAGATTACTTACTGATATATAACAGTTTATTATCAGGCCTAGCTACTATTCCCACATGGAGATTACTTACTGATATATAACAGTTTATTATCAGGCCTAGCTACTATTCCCACATGGAGATTACTTACTGAAATATAACAGTTTATTATCAGGCTCAGCTAATATTTCCACACGGAGATAACTTCCTGATATATAACAGTTTATTATCAGGCCTAGCTACTATTGCCACATGAAGATTACTTACTGATATATAACAGTTTATTATCAGGCTCAGCTACTATTGTCACATGAAGATTACTTACTGATATATAACAGTTTATTTTCAGGCCTAGCTACTATTGCCACATGAAGATTACTTACTGATATATAACAGTTTATTATCAGGCTCAGCTACTATTGCCACATGAAGATTACTTACTGATATATAACAGTTTATTATCAGGCCTAGCTACTATTGCCATATGAAGATTACTTACTGATATATAACAGTTTATTATCAGGCCTAGCTACTATTGCCACATGAAGATTACTTACTGATATATAACAGTTTATTATCAGGCTTCTTAGAAAGGCCCAACCAATCAGATGGCATGTTACGTAGAAAGGCCCAACCAATTAGATGGCATGTTACGTAGAAAGGCCCAACCAATCAGATGGCATGTTACGTTGAAAGGCCCAACCAATTAGATGGCATGTTACGTTGAAAGGCCCAGATTGGAAGAATGGACATTCTGGACGTTCGTCTATGTTTGAAAATAATACTTCATGAACGAGGAGATTCTTTGTTCTTTTACTTGTCCGAGAAGTTCTGTGATCACTAGTAATTTTATTATTGTTGAAAATGTGAGAAAATAAACAAGTATCCTCAAGTGTTTTTAACAGGTCTGACATCATCTGGTTATTGTTAAAGTCACGATTTATCAGTAAAAGATCCTCACACGTTAAGATTCATAAGACATCTTTGTTTTCTACTTCCCCACTGATCAAGAGTCAATATTTTAACATAAATACGTAACATGCCATCTGATTGGTTGAGCCATTGAACGTAACATGCCATTTAATTGGATGATATTTTATTGGTTGATGAGGTCGTGCCTAACTAATTGTAAACTTAAGAACTACTTTCAGACTTGACAGCGTCACTCATTCTCCTCTTTGTGTTTCTTTTTCCTCGTTCTTAACCTGTGATATATTATGTATTATTATTATTTGGACAAGACACAAGTACGTTAAATACAAGGAAAACATTTTCACAGGAGAAATTCATTAGTCACCGTTACAAGCATGGCTGCTTAACCTTGTTGAAAAATGTGTGCGTGGGGTCTAAGTCAATATAACATAGTTGTTAATAATAGTATATGTACACCAACGGGAAAGTGGGGGGGGGGGGGTTCTGAGCTGCGACTTATACTGCCAAAAACAAATCCACGACTACTGACCTTCTTAGAAAGGGAATGGAAAAAATAGGTCATAGTTAGTTGACTAAAGCCTGACCTAGTTGGGCGATATATATTTTACTGTCTTATCGGTCTATCCATTATTAAAGTTATTACCTTTCTTTCTTTTTTAACTTTTTTTTTTACCTATCTGTCTGTGGATATATTTGCCCGCTTTCCCGACTGTCTGTATGTCTGTCTAACAGCATTTCAACAAGAACTACACTTCATTTAACTTAACATTTAAAGTCACTACGATTGAAATAAATACAGTAACCTAAAATATAATCAAGACATTTCATAAAAGTCGTTGTTGGTTAAGAGACTGACGCTGTGGAGTTTTAAAGGAACTTTTCATGCTTGTTTTCGAGTTTTGAACTCCACATGCCGCCTGGCTGAAGTTGGTTTTGGTTAAAGTTTACGTGTCGAGAACATCGTTTGATTCTACACATGATATTTACCAAGTCCGGATAATAATAATAATAAGAAGAAGAAAATGAAAGAAATCTATATATAAATATACTGTAGTTAAATAAATACTTACAAGAGATGCGCATATAATTTTGTGGATAAATTGCAGTATTCATTATATAGAGTTGGAATTTTCAGCCTAAAAGACAGGTCTGGGACCCCAAGGTTCAGACATAATCATTCCTAATTTAGGACTGCAGCTAGGCAACAACATATGTTGTTGATTATCCTATCCTCGCAGTTAAATCGACGGAGCATATCAACAGCATATCACGGCTCGAACCTTAGACCTATTGATCCACAGTTCGGCACGCTAACAACTCGTCCACGCTCAGCTATTAATCTTGTGTAGACATACACCATAGATTTATTATATGGGGCTAAATTACAAAACAATTCTCACTTCTACCCAAGATATAGAGTATTTAATTTAAATCAATGTTTTATAAGCGATCTTGATAATTTGAGATCGCAGACACCCAAAACTCACTCTGTATGTTTTCTGTATCTTTTCTTCTTCTTGTAAGCTTGCAACTGTTTTCACACTTTCATATTGGACTGTAGATCTCGGGAACTAATGTAAATAGCTCATGGTAACTGTATTGTTCGTTTGTTTTGTTGTTAAACGCAAAGCTACAAAATGGACTATCTGTACTGTGCCCACCACGAGTATCGAAATCCAATTTTTAGCATTATAAGCCTTCAGACTTACCGCTGAGCCACCTTGGGGTGGGAGTCTTATAACTGTGTTTATCAAGTCGTGATTAATAATGTGCACCTCGATAGTAAAGTTGGAGACAACACTACAGTTTCACGACATCTTAATTCGTCACATATCAGTAGTTCTCTGACACAGATGGAATTATTTATCTTTCAACCCGATTTCAATTAATGTCTTATTATAATTTTTCTCTCCAAATTCTAGAAAAATAAACTTAAAAAAAATATTTTGTTTCTTTGCAAATAACAACCTCCGATTGTTTCGTTTCCAAAAACAGCCTAGAGATGGCGCTTTCTTTTAGTTTTCTTGATGTTTGTTAGGAGATTACACTATAAGTTGTATTTGATTTAGCTCAATACTACACAATTGATTATTTGCGCTCTGTCCACCGCCAGGAATCAAACTCTAGATTTTAGCATTCTATATCCGTAAGCCTGGCATGGCCAGGTGGTAAGGGCGCTCGACTCGCAATCTGAAGGTCGCAGGTTCGAATCCCCGTCCCTCCAAACATGCTCGCCCTTTCAGCCGTGGGGGCGTTATAATGTTACGGTCAATCCCACTATTCGTTGGTAAAAGAGTAGCCCAAGATTTGGCGGTGGGTGGTGATGACTAGCTGCCTTCCCTCTAGTCTTACACTGCTAAATTAGGAACGGCTAGCGCAGATAGCCCTCGTGTAGCTTTGAGCGAAATTCAAAAACAAACAATCCTAACTTCGTGAACGTATAGTTGGTGAATCACTTAATAAGAATGTGTAATTTTCATACAAATGCTCCATTATTTCTTCTGGTAGTTATTCTTATGTTTCTATACTTACATAAAATTTTCATTTAAATGTTGTTCTTTTAACTATTCCAATAATTGAAACCTTTAGTAACTACATCCAAAAAACAACAAAAAATTTCTCAAATTCACTGGAGATGTTTTTTTTTCTTCTTCTTCAATTCATGATCTTAGAAGCAAATCCCACCGCGCCATCTCGCGGTGAAATTGTTAGCCTTGACATAGAGCATGCGTGCCTGGTGCTTCCTGTTGAATGAACGGTAAATGGGTCATGGACGAAAAGAGGAACGGGCGTGAGCAGGTTCTAGGGCAAACACTGCGTCAATCGATCTTCTCCACTGGAGAGATAGGAAAACAACTTACCCCAGGAAAACTTATGTCTGTCTCGTCGTCTTAATAAAGTGACTTTCGAAAACCGGTTATTATATTCAACGTTTTAATAATGACGTGCCTGACAGAGAGAAAGAGAGGTGCTTTGACACTGTGTTAAGCATTACCTGAAGGTTTGTATATTATTGGTCGACTTTCCCGGTTTTTTGTTGTCCGTCAAATTCTGCGTGTGGGCGTTTAAAAAATGAGCACTTCTATACAAAGTGACACACCTACAAGTGATGAACTTGCAACTCATAATTACGCTATTTACTGTTTTTATTTTCTGTATAGAAACAGAGAATTTAATTGAAATATAACGTGGGGGTCAACGTATGGGTTAAGGAATCTATTTCAAAGTTCTGAGCTTTGACTTTTGAAATACAGTTCAATTATTTTAAACAGAACTGAAACAGCTTCACAAGCCAGGAATAAAACTAAGTGCCCCGTTAAGTAACACCCATAGTTACAAACGTTTCACCAAATTCACCTCGGATCATATGTATTATACATGTATATCTGACAATGAAAATAACAACAACTCGTGATTATAAAAGAATCTTTTTCGGTCACTTCTTGGGCTTTTTTTTTTTTATACGATTTTATTGGTGTGTATGGCCTAATAGTTAACATGACAGGCTGCGCGCCGAAGGATCTAAAGTTCCACACGTGATGACGTTCTTTTTTTTTTCGGCTGCGGGCAGCGTGTGATAAAAGTCAATCAGTGTCGTTATTTAGTTCAAAGAACTGGATAAAACTTTTGTGGCGTTGCTGGCTGTGGTCAGTAGGTCAAAATTAGGGACGGCTACACCTGAACCATAGAGTAGGGAGAGCTCGTTAGTCCCCTTGATTGAGGATTCCCGTTTAATGATGTTTTAAATAGTGGCCAAACTGAAGTACTTTACTTTCATTGAAATGTGTTCTTTGAAACAAGAAAAAATATCTCCAGCACGTTGTACAGTCATATATATTGCAATAAATACAATTATCATTGAAAATATTACTCTGTCTGGCGTTGGGGGACTTTTAAAGAGAGTATTTCTGTATGTGTCAAGGATCTCTCGCGGACCCCAGTTTGGGAACCATTGCCCTAGAGGTCTCTGACCTGATTTTTTAGCTCACGTACGCACAACATGCAGTTCAGGTTAAAAATTCCCATTTCTCAACAAAATGTATTTGACAACTGTTTTCTGCGCTGCCTGTTATATAAATAGAAGTTCTAATTTTCATCAGCTTCTTCGATAGATAGCTATATTTAAGTATAGATCTGTCGTAGGCCAAACTTCAACCATATTACAAATACAATAGAATAATGAAAACAGTTTCATTATGGGATATTTGAAAATACAGTTCAATATAAAAACACGTTATTTAAATAGCTTATTTTGTGAAGAACTTGACCTTCAAAGAACAAATTATGCGCATACATTTTTTTGTTTTTTTAACACCGCCACGACTGGCTTCTATAAACTCGTTTCAAGTAAATAATTCAGTAATAATCACGTACTAGTTTTATCAAACAAGGAAGTATTTATAATTTTAAAAAGAGTTTCTCGGCCGAAGTGCAAGTTGTTGAAGCATGTGTAAACAAGTTTTATGGCCCAGTGCCAAAATGTTCGAGTTCGTAGACCTGTATCCTTTCGAAAGCTAACTTTCACGGTTTAACCTTGATGTTCAAAGCTGGAAACAACGGCAGTGCAGGTGATAGTACTGACCTCGTGAACGTTTCTGATGGAAGATAATTCTCCGAATGTTATGAATCTTGACCATATTTAGTATTGTTTCGGCTCAGTAACGCGCAGGGGACATTAAAAGGGCGAAAAGGGTCACTTTCAAGCTTTATAAGGCAAGCCTTTTTTTTAGGGGGGGGAGGGTGTTAGGGAAGACTATAGGTTACCTTTGGTACACATGAACTAAAAAAAAACATAAGAAGCAAACAGATTCCTATATTATTCTTATTCAATCGGTCTTATAAACACATTTAAACTCTAAAATTAAACAATGAATTATTACCTGTTAGCAGTAAAATAGCGTATTACAATTATTTTTTGCTAGTGTTACATACCTACGAGTCTTTATATGCCATTAATTTGAAAGCTGAAAAATCTTTGTCTTGCCAAAATCTTGCAATAAGCAAAGTATAGAATCAGGCGTGTATTTTAGTAGTTGTTGAAAATTTTTATGACTTCAGAAAAATGACATTTTGGGGGGCTTGATCCTCCTCCCCCTATATACGTAACCGTTTCACTTACTTGTTAGATGTGGCCCAGCTCTGGCTATGTCATTAAACGCTACCTCTTAATTTTTCTGTACATCTAATTTGGAACTTTTAATAAAACGAGCGTTTAAAAGTGGTCTTAAGTTAGTATTATATGTTGTTGTTGTTTTTTCAATAGTTTAACTGGTTTGATCGGTGTGTGTTAAATCAAGAAGAAACTCATTTTTTACAAAGTTTAATATTTCAAATTGACGCGGTAACCATTTTATTAACCCAAATATAACCATATCAACACCATCGTGTGTTGAAACACATTTTATAAACTAGTTATACACCATGTTTGTTTTTGTTTTTTTCATGGGTCTTTGACTTTGTTTGTTACAGTGTCTTTAATAACATCGACACTGTAGTTAATGTACCCATCAACATTGTAATTAATGTAACCATCAACGCTGTAGTTAATGTAGCCATCGACACTGTAGTTAATGTAACCATCGACATTGTAGTTAATGTAACCATCGACATTGTAGTTAATGTAAGCATCAACATTGTAGTTAATGTAACCATCAACATTGTAGTTAATGTAACCATCAACATTGTAGTTAATGTAAACATCAATATTGTAGTTAATGTAACCATCAACACTGTAGTTAATGTAACCATCAACACTGTAGTTAATGTAACCATCAACGCTGTAGTTAATGTAACCATCAATATTGTAATTACTAGCTACTAATGGAGTCCTCTGTGTATTTAATATAATAAATGAGTGATTTCGTCCACTTTTTGTGTCAACTGAGTGTTGTAACAGCTAAATATACAAAATTATTCATTATGATGTAATATATCGGACCCCCCCCCCCCGATGGCTCAGCAGCAAGTCTGAGGGTTTATAGCGCTAAATATTGGGGTTCGGTTCTCGCTTTGGGCACAACACAGTTAGCCCATTGTGTAGCTTTACGCTGAACGAGAAACAAACAAATGATAATTGAGGATTAATCAACGCCGTAAGCCTTTAAAAAATGGTATTCTTCTCTTTTATTATTTGACTAATCCTGATATCGACAAAAATGACCAATGACTTCTTTGAATTTTACAGTAGATGGATGTGATGATACTCGACTCAAACCCAGGGTTCTTGATGTGACCAATGACAATTCGATCTCGAACCAGTCGTCCGGTCCTCATGGTGAGGCCAAGACACTACTTCAGAACATTCTCCAACAACCACCTCAACACTCCCCCTTCTCTCTAATGACCGTATCCCGGCATTCAGCTCTCTCATGCAGTAGTACTACGGGTAAGTTTCTTCATTGGTGTGATTTATTTAATCTCTTACGATTACCTGTCGTCTGCAACACCATCTTAAACGTATGCAAATGTGGAAGGTGTTAAAGAGGACATCGACATGTTTTTTTGTTTCAAAGCCAAGTGATTTCTTCAATCAGGGCATTAACAACCTGATTGTAAGATGGAAAAGCATCATCGATAAGAATGGAGACTATTTCATTTAATAAATGTTTTGTTTTGATATATAAGTTGTTCGGGATTTTTCATCTAAAAAAAAAGGGCGACATATATTTCTTGACGACATAACAGTTATCTTCATCAGTGCGTTTCGTTTGTATGTAAATATATACATTTTAAGTTATTAATGCGTTAAAAAATTAAAAGAAATTGAAACATGGTATTCGATAACGCCATATATACTTTACACTAGAGATCCATGCCGTATGTCATTTCTTACATGCGCGTTCATATTGTAAAAACATTTAAATAATACTTTCCTAGTATTGAGAGTGTATTGTTTAAGTATCATTATTATCAGATATCGATGTCGGTGGTGGACACCATGAAAAGTTCAGAATCCGATGAAGTATTTCCAGCCCTGTGAAAAATGGGCAATTTTTTAGGATTCTTCTTTGCACTCTTTTTGTGTGTGAGATGAGGTATCTGTCATATTGAAATGACATTTTACCGAATGAAACCGATGTTAGGGGAAGTGAAAGTGGAGCTTACAGCTTTCAAGCCAACTTCTTAATTTATCGTTTACGGATTTCAGATTAGAAATGGGTAGAAAAGCACTTCATGTTTGACTTTTTTGCCCCAGAATGACGCCAGCTGCGATAAAAAACAACAACAACATTATCTGCAGTCAAACGTGTTTTCCATCACCTCTGTAAGGCCTAACGTAACCGTATTGTTGATACAACAAGAATAGGTGAGGAAATCACTTCTGTTAGGCCTAACGTAACGATATTGTTGATACAACAAGAAGAGGTGAGAAAATCACTTCTGTTAGGCCTAACGTAACCGTATTGTTGATACAACAAGAATAGGTGAGGAAATCACTTCTGTTAGGCCTAACGTAATGGTATTGTTGATACAACAATAATAGGTGAGGAAATCACTTCTGTTAGGCCTAACGTAACAGTATTGTTGATATAACAAGAATAGGTGAGGAAATCACTTCTGTTAGGCCTAACGAAACCGTATTGTTGATACAACAATAATAGATGAGAAAATCATTTCTATTAGACCTAACGTAACGGTATTGTTGATACAACAAGAATAGGTGAGCAAATCGCTTCTGTTAGGCCTAACGTAACGGTATTGTTGATACAACAAGAATAGGTGAGAAAATCACTTCTGTTAGGCCTAACGTAACGGTCTTGTTGATATAACAAGGGTTATGTATTATTGTTATTATATTATTTAAATCCCACCCACGATTTTTTAATTTTTTTTTTTTTTTTTGCTATCTAAGATTTATCTTCATAAATGAGTTCGTGACGTTATCAAGTTTATTGTTGTATTACGTTCAAACTCCACAAACTTTAAATGGGTGAAACTGATCAAATTAAAATGGGTGGTTTTTCTATGTGTGTGTGTATTTTTTAAAAGATAGAATATTAAAATATCGATAAAAACAATTGAGAAGTGCCATTTTTTGTGATTTTCGTTATTTTTTTCATAAAATTCTTAAATGACATGAAAAAAAAAGTCCAGGTTGGAAGAAATGTGTCAGTTGCTTAAAGATTGGTATTAATGACTATGAATGTCTGTTGATTTGTTATTGAATTTTCATCATCACGAACAAATCGATATAACATGAACCATCTGTTCTCTTACGGTTGTCTAGTAACGCAGCTGGTGCGTGCCAGAAAGGCCGTTACCCTTCTACACTTAGCTCGTGCAGGATGAGGGGAGGGGGGACGACTTGCGTGATCAGCACACGAAGTCTTAATAAGCTTACTCTTCCGGAGGTGGGGGGTGGCGGAGTGAGCTCTATTGAATGTATGGTAGAATTATTAACCATTGTTTCAACAACCTGTTACGTCATCCTGTTGGTGTGTTAGAGCTGATAGATAAGCCACGTGACTTTAAGAGCTGAGTCACACATGTTAGTAACAAAAGAAATATTTTGAGAAGTCGGATAATATGAATGCCAGCAAAAGCTGTAAGTTTTTACTACAGGTAATAAAACCTCAGAATTAACAATATATTTCGTACGACATTGTATTCCAAGTATTCTACATCCCACCTGATGTGTGACGTCATAACTTAACTTACTAGAAGTTAAAAAAAATGAAACACTGTAACTGTGTTTCTCCACATTTCAAGTTTAATTTTTATTTTGCTTTTACGTTAATATTTTTATGTATTGATTTGCATAGGTTTGTGTAATGTGTTAAGTTTTGTATCGATATGAACAACTGTATACATTATTTACTGGTCTAGGTTCTTTACCGAGGAACAAAGGATTTTTTTTTTCAAACCGTTAGGCTTAACAGGAATCGTCTTGGAAGTTAAGAGAAAAGAACGAGAGCACTACAGTTACCGCTACAACAGAAATAGTTATCTATTTGTTTTAACTGCCATTACCTTGAAACAGTGGTGTAGGTTATGGTTTCGATAACAATAACACCAGTAACAACGCAAATAGGGGGAAAACGTGAACGCAATAAAAATTGAATTCATAATAGTAATGCGAAGTGGGAATATTTTTATTAGGCTTAGGCAAAAATATTAAACTCGAGAATTTTCTGTACAATTTTTATTAATTACTGGATCCTTTCGGGTGCTGTTTGTTCCTGAAATCGGTAAAAGACTCTTGAGATGACATCACTTGAATTTTCATGTATGAGTTTAGATGTTTCCTTCTTTTAAAAAGTCAAAAAATTACCGAAATAAAGAAGACGTATTGGAAGCAATGTACTCAAATCATTACTTAAGTAAATTCCTAGAATCCGGGTGGGCAGAGCACAGATAGTCCATTGCGTTGCTTTGTGCTTAACTATAAATAATCAAACAAAGTAACTTTTGACTTCTTTTAATTTTCTTTGGGTATGTAAACATAGAGCTACACCAAAATATGACTTTTTTTAATTATCAATAAAAACAATGAATTTTATGAATTATTGTGATAAGAATTAACAGAGAATATTGGGTATATTTTCAAGTTTTTATGCAATACTTGAAATGTTATAAACAAGAAATTTAGTTTTGGTAAATGAAGTACACTACAGGAAGTAATAAAAAAAATGTCTGATCTGTTCTCTAGGGTCCTTGCCTCCAAGTCCATCGGACAGTGGGGTATCTGATGTTGACAGTAGCAGTTGTCATTTGAGTAGTGATGAAACTAAACCAAGATTCCTAGACACACCAGGTAACGATGTTAATACATACGTTTACGGCCAGGTGGCTTGGGCGCTCGACTCGCAATCTGAGGGTTGCGGGTTCGAATCCCCGTCACACCAAACATGCTCGCCCTTTCAGCCGTGGGGGCGTTATAATGTGACGGTCAATCCCACTATTCGTTGGTAAAAGAGTGGCCCCAGAGTTGGCGGTGGGTGGTGATGACTAGCTGCCTTCCCTCTAGTCTTACACTGTTAAATTAGGGACGGCTAGCCCTCGTGTAGCTTTGCGCGAAAATCAAAACAACCAAACAAACGTACGTTTAGTGTGACCACGTGTCTTACTTTGTCTCAAACTGATTCAATAGATTATTGAACTGGTTTGAAAAACTGCAGACTGAAGGTACTTAATCTCTCGGCAATGTTTGAATTTTCCCGTGATTATGCAAATCTGATTTAATTGTTAAATGTACAGGAATACCCGTGTATTATATTTGTATTTTTAAGTTATTAGTACGCCCACTATTTATATTCCTAGGGACCATATGGGCGTAGATATAATATAGTTTATAGGGATTTTCTTCATTAAACTGGGCAGTAAATTAATAAAATGTAAACATTTTTGATATTTTATCAAATTTCCCTTGTTCTTGGCAATACAAAATACGTGTTTGCGTATTTTCACTTTTCACTTACAACTTATTTTATACAATAGATGGCGCCACTAGGAAAGGAGATTGTTCACCTAAAACCCTTATTTGTTTGTTTTTGTTTTGCACGTTTAAATCTCCTTCTAAGTGCGTACAGATAACATCAAATAAACATATATATGTCAAGTTTGCCTTTCGTCAACGTTAGAAATTAGGTAAAACGTTTTCAAAATATCAAAAGTCCTAACGTAACTAATTCGTCTGTAGTGTCAGCTGTTATCAGCTCCCCCCCCCCAAACCTCCCCCGAAAAGTAAAGTGATAGTAAGAATGAATAAAAATAGTTCTGAGATATCCATTCCCTCCTGGTAAAATGTACTTTGAAAAGACTCGTTACTTCTGTTACCAGCCCCCCCCCCCACACCGAAAATTACAACAATAATGATAGTAAGAAAATAAGTATTTTTTATTTAAATGTAATAGTTAAACCACACGTATATGTTAACAAGTCTGAAACTGGCAGTATAAAAAACTATGTCGTTTCTTGTGTTATACAGCACCGTCGACAACACCAGATTCTCCAACATCTGTTGGCCAGTCTTACTTCCAGTCTTACTCCCAGGTGGCGCTATCACCTTATCATTCCAACCAACTGTATTCTCAGAAAGAATGTAAGTATCTATACAGTTGTCTACTAAATAAAGGTATTTATATGTGTGTCCAGAGAATGTTGTCTCGGGAAAAACGTGTGACGTAGTATTTGCTGTCCATGTACAGATAAATATTTATATTAATATAATTACACTCTCTATGCACCTTTACCAGTAACCATAATTAATTGTGCGATAACTTTGATAATTCTTTTTTATTGTTATCCCTTGGAGGGGGGGGGGTATGCAAAAGAGAGCATTGACTTGACGAAAGAAAATTAGGCCAAGGATAGCGATTGGCAAGTATAACCACGCGGCCGCAGAAGGAAATCCTGTATGTGTACGAGACCCCTATTGGTTTTATTAAACAGATCGTATTGTTCGGTTATCACCACACACACCCTCCAGGTACTGACAAAGCACTAAATCGATAGGTTTAAGGATTCTCCCCAGCCCTGCTGGTTTTGTTCCTGTATTTAATACCACATTTTATTCTAGGATGTAAGGTGTTTGTTGTTAGGTTTAAGGATTCTCCCCAGCCCTGCTGGTTTTGTTCCTGTATTTAATACCACATTTTATTCTAGGATATAAGGTGTTGGTTGTTAGGTTTAAGGATTCTCCCCAGCCCTGCTGGTTTTGTTCCTGTATTTAATACCACATTTTATTCTAGGATGTAAGGTGTTGGTTGTTAGGTTTAAGGATTCTCCCCAGCCCTGCTGGTTTTGTTCCTGTATTTAATACCACATTTTATTCTAGGATGTAAGGTGTTGGTTGTTAGGTTTAAGGATTCTCCCCAACCCTGCTGGTTTTGTTCCTGAATTTAATACCACATTTTATTCTAGGATGTAAGGTGTTTGTTGTTGTTTTTCTCAGTAACTTCTGACCAAAGCAAGCTACCTAAATGTCCATCTTTTGTATTTCGGAAATGGAAATAATCCTTCGAATCAAAAGAAAAAGTACTGACATACGAAGTAGACGTGGTCACGTGTTACCTATCCTGAGTATCAGATGTTCTCGTTAGCACTCGAGATTTCAGGAACTCTTTGTACCGACGTTACCATTTTTAACCTTTCTTTATAATAAAGGGTTAATCTGTCCGCCTCCCCTCGTGGCTTTTGGCTCGGAGTATT